GCAGGTGTCACAAAGCAGTGGGGGAAAGGTGTCACCGGTTGCATGGATGCATTTTAGCACATAATGCTGAGTAGGAAAATGTATGGAAGAATATGTGCCTGATAATACTATTTATTTTAAAAATGCAAAATCCAGGATTCATGCTGTTACAGATTGAATTGGGTCTCCCTAAAATTTGTATTGGAATCTTCACTCCTAGACCCATGAATGTAATCCCAATGGGAAGAGAGTTTTTGGTTTGTTAATGAAGTCGTGTATGTAGGATATGGGTCTTCAGACTAGCCTATTTTCTGAGATTACTGAAAAAGGCGGTGGTGGGAGGTGGGGGGGAGTTAGTCACAGAAGCAAGCAAATACAAATATGGGAAACATAGAGGCCACAAGGAAATCACCAAGGACTACTGGACCCAGAGAAGCTGAGAAAAGGATTTCCCTCCAGAGCAGGCTACATAGCTTCACTTTGTGCTGGTCCCAAACTCAGGACTTCTTCCCTCCTAAACCGTGAGATGATAAATGTCTGTTCTTTAAAGCCACCCACTTATGGTATCTGTGCTACAGCAGCATTAGGAAACTAAAATACATGCACATGTGACACAATTATATTTTAGAAAGCTAGGATATTATTCACCTAGGATTTAAGAAAATGTTCATCATTAGGGGGACAGATGAAGGCAATTGTTGAGGGAAGATGGCAACTGAAAAAGTACAATAAGACATATTCTGTATTTTAGGGTAAATGATATTCATCTTGATAGCATTCTAAAAACTGAAAAGTACTTTTTGTACATATTATATATTTCATAATAATAAAAAGAAGATTATGTGCTTCTTTTTAATAGACTGCAATAATGCAAAGATAACATTTTCTAGGAAAAGAATTAAGATAAATGATTTGTTAAAATTTTTATTGTCATTAGATATAGCTTACTAGATAAAAGATTTAAGAAACTGAATTTAACTTGAGGTATCTCTTTAAGGGGGGATGCTGTTTATTTAGTATCTACAGAGTGTAATGAAATTGTAAAATGCCTAGCTTATGGCTTGGCATGTAGTAGGTGTTCGACATGATTATTTCCTTTCCTTTTGTAAAAATAATATTTAGTATATGTTATATATGCAGGAATTCATTAAGGTTGGATTGACTTACACTGGGATCACATATTCTAACTCATGGTGAGCGTTCATATGTTACGTATTTTAAACATTAAAATCCCTGAAGTTTTTCAGTGTCCTTTACAATCACTTACAATTAGCTATTGATAGCGGCTAACAGTATTTGGGGCTCTAACTACTGCAAGAGAGAGTACTATTCTAAGGACTGTGCATGGTTGTTCATCAAAAATGTTCAAAACATTATGAACTACATATGCATTACAATTATCCTCCCTTGAAAGAAGAGAGAAGGAAAACAAAGACGCAAAGGAACTGCCCCCTTTTCATACAGATGGGAAGCAGCACAACCGCGAGGCGACTACGCCACAATCCTGAGCACAGTTACATACCCCTGCTGGTGTCCAAGGGGTTCTGGTCATGGGCCAGGCGCTGTGCCACGGCTGTGTTAAAATGCACACAATGCTCATCCTCTTCTGGGAAAGGACATTTGGTAGCTCTTCCGTTTTTGCTGAATCACAGCTAAGTTAAGGACCCTGACCAAGGTCTGGTATTCATAAATGGATGACCTAGGATTGAAAAGGAAGCTGTCTACCAATCAAACCTATCGCTTGTTATTCTGGATACATGCTTTGTTTAAAATTCATTTTTTAAATTTATGGTCAATAATTGGGAAAAATGTAATGTGTTTTTTCTCTCATAAGTCAAACTGCTAAGGGTGTGATTAATAGCCCAACATGTAACCCCCTCCACCAATCAGTTTGAAAGCGCCAACTGCCCCTTGGGAGAAAGATGAGGCTCTCTACTCCCCTAAACAGTTACAGCCTCAGGCTCTGTCCTACAGGGCTACTATCTGTGGCCGTGAGAGAGTGACCGGTCCAAACGAAGCATGCTATCTAGGGGGGAGGGCAATAAGAGGTGCTAATGAGGTTCTAATATCTGTTACATTACAAAGGAACTTAACCACAGACCACTTTACGTTCACATATATCCACTAAATATTATTCCAGGTCATAACCATGTTCTGAGGATACAGTCATGGCAGATAGCAAGGCAAACCTGGACACACACATCCCCCATGCCTGTAACCATGAATTTCCACAGAGGTATAGTCAAAACTAATGTAAGAGTGTTTACCTAATAAAGGTGACCATGAGACACTGCCATATGGCATAGATAAATCAATCCCTTTCTACTAACCCCCTCATCATAAATTGTCCCCCACTGAGGTGAGTCACACCCTGGAAAAGTAGTCTTTATGATGGACAAATAGGGGAGTGATAAGTGGGGTTAGAAGCACTAGACAATTGCACCTCTTTACCTGGGTGGCGGAATGGAACGACTGCATGATCTGAGAGCCACTGCTGGTCTTTCTTTGTCCTTATAGCTGTGGTCTCATCCAATATCTTTAGAAAATAGAAGGTAACAGATGCAGGGCACACTCTACAGTGAGGTGTTTCCAAAATAGAATCATGTTGAATGTTCAGCTTATAATTTTCTTTTCCTGTGTAAACTACTTCCATAGCTTATCAAATATATCACCTATATCAGTTTTCTCTATTTTAAAGTGAAAGTCTAAAAGTATTGCTACAAGATCATAGAGATTAAACAATAATATCAAATTTTGAAGTGATTGTTTCTCCATGTATTCTCCATCTAGTTCTATACACATCTGAAGGTGGACTTCCCATCTCTCTAAACTTTCCTTGAGAAATTCTGATAATTTATACCACATCAAAGCAGAAGTCTTGGATTTATGACACATCAAAACAGAAGTTTTAGCACATTCTGGGGACACAAAAATTGTGGGCTTTTTAAAATTTCTTTTTTTGTTTGTTTTGAGAGCAAAAATGAAATCTGAAGTGTGAAGCTCAGGGATGTAGGTTGGATAGTGTAAGGGTTGCCAACAAAATTCTATATGGCAGCTCTTCGTACCCTCAAAGAATAAACATGTGCATTGTCATGATAGAAAAATAAAAATTCTCAGGGCAACTTTTTGGCTAATTCTTCACCAACACAGTTTTCAATTTTCTTAAAACATCTTCATAATAATGCTTCATGATCATTCTGTGTCCTTCAAGAAAATCTATCAAGATTATCCATTTAGAATCTCAAAACACAGTTGCCTACTCTGCTTTGAATTTTGCTGATGCAGCAGATTTACCCAGAAGCCAGTATTTTGACTGCATCTTTTTCAGACAGCACTAAGAAAGTACATTAACAAGAATAAAAAAGTGCATTAATGAGAAAATTTGTCTAAAGCCATCTACTAATCTCAGAGACTGGCTGAACACACATTTTGTTTGTAGTCAATGGGCTTGAGTGAACTGGCACTCTGGTAGCAATACTTTTTGACATACCTTTGTACACACTCTTAATATAGAATAGTAATCTTATGAAAAACATTAATTCAGGAAATATTTCTTGAGGAATTTGCTCCTGAATTTTTTTCACTTTGCCAGTAGCCTAATTTCCATGTTAAAGAGATCCTTTCACATCTGAATTGAAATTATATTTCTATGAAAAATAGTATTTTAAATGGCTGATAGCAATACAAGTAACTGTGAATTTGATATAACAAATACAAAATACAACAAAATTACAAAGTAATTACTGGATTCTTAGAATAACAAAATCATGTGATCATATGCTGTAGAAACAAGTTTTGTTTAATGTTGTTATTAGTACGTTATTAGCAGCGTGTTGCAATGGACATAGAGTAGATTGTGTTAAATGAAGTAAATACTGATGAGGGGCTCAACTATCTAAGGATAGGGCTGAACACCACCAAGGAGGCGATTGCATGTAAAGACTTAGAGCAGTTCCTTTCCCTTTTCAGACTAGTGATTCTTCCAGTTGAACAGTAACGTGTGAAAAGTCAAAGAATAAATTAGACACTTTCCTATACTCCAATAGTGAACTTAACTAGCAGCTGGGGTGATAACCAGTGGTACTATTTTGTGCCAATACTGATTGGAGTTATTCCATAATAAATGGGTTTTATCTGCTGTTTGTATAGCGTTAAAATATTTTACACTTGGAATTTTGAGTAATTTGAAAAAATTCTTTTTCATAATAATATGCACATTTTAGGCTTACAGAAAATAAAGTAACCGCTAATAATGACACAGCCAAATTAATTGCATCATGATTGTATATCATCAGTATATTGGGGCTTTAAAAAAACCCCACAAAACCTTTTATGCTATTTTAGTACCTTTTGTTTTTGTTTGAATTGGTATATACCTGTCGCTTTCTATAAAAATTATAATGCAATCAGTAAGTAGAAAAAAGTTGAATAGTAGAAAGTGAATTTCAATACATAGATATATATGAAAGAATCCACATTTCACACATCAGTATAATTTCTATTTCTGCAGTTTATCTGGATGTCCTCTAAATGCACAAGCCATCAAAAAGGGCAAAGTTTCGGAAGAACTCATGACCATCAAAGTCAAAGCCACCGGGGGTAAGAATGTGTAGTGGGAATCACCATCTTCACCAAGAGGTCCAGCTGTGGCTCCCCAGAGGAATCTAGCTGCATGCTAAAGCCTACGTCATTCCCATGTGGCAAAACAGTGTGATTCCTGGTGTCCTTCTGGAAATTAACTCTTCACCCCTCCAGTAGCTAAAGTAGTCAAAGATGCATTAATTTTTCCTCTAAATAAAAAAAGCATATAAATACAATTTTAGTGTGTAAACCTAATATGAAAATGAAGGTTCGCCTAAAGAAATGTATTATCTGAAAGCTAAAATCTTAACTACTGAGAGATCCAAATATACTGAATACATCTGCTATAGCCACGTATCGACATCACTCATATAGTTCTGCTTATTACTTTCCATTGCTTCCAACATCACAGTAACACACATGCTACCACAATGCAACAGAGTGATAGATGGGTGGTGGAACAAAGCAAAAGCAGATAAGTCATGTTGTGTTGAATCATTCACGGTTTAATTTTTGACATTATATTTTGAAGCAGTACCTTGTGGTGAATGGAAGGTTGCATCTAGTTTCTGTTGCCAGGAACAGTAGTTCTTTTTATATTTTGCACATTTCCCCTGTTGTACATGTGCAGCTGTGTGCTAGGGGTTTATTTAGATATGGGATTGTTCAGTAACAGGGAATGGGAAATTTCACCTTCAGTAGGTAATGGACTATTTCCCAAAACACTTACGTGGGAAAATAGATGAGGCTGTCCTTCAATCAAATGAAGTCCATGCTTCTCTATAAAATCAATCTTAGTAACTTCGAGTGAAGAGTCTACATTTATTATTGTTAATGGTCATCCCTTTGGATTAGTCATCACTTGGATTAATCCTAACTTTTGATTAATATAAATAAAAAAAATTTATTTATATGTTTTCTAAAAAACCTATAGAAAAATAGCCCCTCTTTATGTTCAGCGCATTACATTTTGTGTTATTCGTACTCACAACATAGACACTATATCTATTTTATAAAAGAGGAAGTTGAGTCACAGTGTAAGTCTCTCAAATTCAAGAACAAGTTTCAAAGAAAGCATACAATCCAAACCTGTGTTCTTTCCTCTCCATTGCATATTATATAAGCTCAGGGTCAACCCCCTTTTGTGTACCTTCGGATTCTATACTCATGCCTGCCCTCCCAGCTCTAACCAGTTGTGGTCTATAACGTGGTCCACCACAGTTACACAGAGTCCTTGACTACTATAATTGATGTCCTGACTGTTCTTGCAGCATTTGTACAGAGAGCCCAGCAGCTCTAGAGAAAGGGGCTTTGCACTCTCATTATGTCTCTGCCACTTAAACTCAGGTGAGTTATTTGGGGTTGAACTCTGGTAGCAAATGTCTGCTAACTGAAAGGTCAGTAGTTCGAAACCCCAGCCTCTCCATGAGAAAAAAATGAGACTTTCTACTCCCATAAAGATTTATCATCTCGGAAAGCCACAAGGCATTGCTATGAGTTAGAACATTATCAATGGCAGTGTTTGGTTTTGGTGATTAATGTAGCCTAGCTTACTCTGTCTAAGGCTCGCTACCTTCCTATCTGGTAAGGATATGACAGGTGTAATACAACAAGGCCTGAGAGTGACAGGAGAGTTTAAGTGAGAACCGAACATCTGAGAATATATGCGGTAGAAGGGAACTACTTTAAGTGGTATACTTTCCTACTTCCTCTTTTCTTCCTTACTAAGAAATTAAATGTTGCTGCCCCTTCTATTCACTTTTTTTCAGTCATGGATATGTGTGACTTTGGGGAAATGTCTAGGAGTTCAAACTAATGTCTAATTTTCACTTAGCATGCCACAAATATTGACAGTCTTGTGTCTGATTTCTGGATGAACTAAGAGTCTGACTCTCTGTAGGTATAGAGAGTGATGAGGAAATTAGGCATCTGGATGAGGAAATAAAGGAACTGAACGAATCCAACCTTAAAATTGAGGCAGACATGATGAAACTTCAGACCCAGGTAACGAAAATTCAATAATCCGTTATCTCTGCTATAATCATAATTCTTAATTAATCAAAATGTTGAACTTTTAAATGTATGCTTGAAAATATACAGATATTTTGTAGTGACTATACTGAGCATTTCTCATACACTCTTACTTAAAAAAAAAAAAAAGAACAGGCCATCACCGATTCGATGCTGTAGGCAAATTTACTCACAGGTTGTCTGAGTATTTTCAGAGTTTTATCATCAAATAATGCAGATAATCTCATAAATAAACAATTGCATAGACTTAAGAGTGATTTTTAAAATGTGATCAGAAGACAAACGATGGACGCTGGGGCCAGGACGTGG